CTGATTAAGTATGAAGCAATTATTTCTTACCAGTTTTCTTCCTGGATAATGTATAATAAATTTCACAAGGATTTGCTCTTCTAACTTCTATATTACAGTCCCTACCATGGTACCTGACACATAGTAGGTGCTCAGGAAGAATGGGTTTAATAAATTAACATTTGCCTATATGTGAATAGTATATGTTTACAGTGTAAGGCTGCATATATTTTCTTTTCTTATGAATACTGAAGTATTTGCCTATTTTCCAAGTCTGTTTGGGGACAAAATAACCATTTTTTTCTTCTCACTTTCACAGGATTATACCTTAACAATGTATTTTCAACAAGCCTGGCGAGATAAGAGGTTGTCCTACAATGTAATACCTTTAAACTTAACTCTGGACAATAGAGTAGCAGACCAGCTCTGGGTGCCCGATACCTACTTCCTAAATGATAAGAAGTCATTTGTGCATGGAGTGACCGTCAAGAACCGCATGATCCGCCTGCATCCGGATGGGACTGTCCTTTATGGCCTCAGGTCTGTAGCATCCATTTCAAAATTGAACTTTTTCTTGAATGATATAGTTATTGCTTTTTATTGGAGGGGAACATTCTATGCTCTTTTCCTTATTCCTCCTTCAAGTCTACTGATAAGCAGTTAAACCTCCTATCCAGCAGACATCTGATAGCTTTCTAAAGGAGTATGCTTACAAAAGGACTTAGCCCTTGCTAAGATTAAGTTTTTCTGAATATTTTCCAATATCAGCTGCTGATCCTAAAGCTGCTTTCTTTAAGGGGCAGGGATAAATAATACCAAAATAGCTTCTTTAAAATGGAAAAAATATGAATGCCTAATATTTGTTTGAATGTAACAGATGCTATTTCATAAATTGCTCTTAAGCTGCATGAACTGGGTCTGGTCCTTTGATGACAGGAAGGCTTTTTGTGCCCTCTCACCTTCCAAAGAGCAATCGGATGTGCAAATAAAGTCATGATCTCATATATATTAATAATGAGTTTACACTATTAAATGTACCTTTATATCAGAAAAGAATTGCGATGCTTTGCTGTTTGAGTGAGGAGACAGTTTCTTCTTTTAAAGTTTATTTTATATTAGAAGCAGTAGATGATTTCTTGAAAAAAAAAATGAAGAAAAAGATATCTTACTCTAAATACCTTACAATGTAAAGATTTCTCTGCATTAGAGGGGGAGAAACTCTAAATTCTGAACTGTTCAATTGCCTTTGATCTATTCTGTTTTACTTAACTACGTAGTTACTTTACTAATGACGATAATAGTATCTAGTGACCACTTGTTAGGGGTCACACATTGAACTGAGTGCTTTTAATGTATTTAATATACAGCTAATCCATATAACAAGCTCCTAAATTAGAAACTGTATGATCTTTATTTTCAAGTAGAGAAAGCAGGGCTGAACCAACTTGCCTAAGATCACCAGGAAAGTAAGCTTTGGAGGCGGGATTTGGACACTGTTCCAAGTTCAGAGCCATAGCTCTTAACCAGTACACGGGGATCACTCTCACTCCCACATCGTTCTTATCTGGAGTCTCTCGTTTTTATTATCTGCTATATTGAATATGCCCGAATGGTGCATTGTGTTAGATCTCCATAAGCCAGCTTCTTTGTTTGTTTATCATATTTGTATAAAAAAAATGGCATTTGACTGACCAGAGAGGGAGGCAGAGAGAGAGCATATGTGTATTTTGTGTTAGTCACTGATGGTAAAGAGGTGAATTGGATACTGGTTCTGCTCATATACGTGCATCAGAAAACAGAGAAACCGTGGGGGAGTTAAAATAAGTTGACTGGCGATGTCTGTAAAGATTTGACCAAAGTAGTGTACTTTGAAAGTACTAATGGAAATAATTGTGTTAGCAGATACATTGTGCTAATTGTATTACTTGGAATTAACTACAAAACATATGGTATTACAGAGACTTGGTGAGAGGGTGACCGGTGGGCAGTGAAGGAGATGGAGAATGAAAAGAGATTGTGGTTTATATTTTTTAAGAGTTAAGCACAGAGAGACGTCAGAATTCTGAAGAAGGTAGAAGGAGGCATAGAAATAAGTTATTTAGCAGTGAATGAGATGGAGAGATGACGAGCAAGTAGCAAGCTCTGGCTAAGCACCAATCCCAGTGCTGGATGCATTCTGCCCATTGAATCATTTAATCTTTACAGTAATCATGTAGAAATTACCCTGAGCTCTTCCCGTTTCCTTGGGATACTCACATTTAGAGCAGAGATCAAGTTGTATTCTCTTTTGTATACCCAGCACTAAAAAAGCACCTGCACTGTAAATAAACTCAGTAAAGGTTGTCAGTGAATTCTGAATGCACAGATGCAAAATTGAATGGATAGGAAAATCAACAATCAGAGTGTCTTTGGAATTGAGAGGGAAAAGAAAGGACCAATGGAGATGATAAGTGTCTATTCATATCAGTAAGCCAATAATCATATAAAAATTTGATCGCTGTTCATACTTATTAAGACGCACTGGACATAATTGCTATAACTCAAACTCCCAACAGTAAGAAACCGTCACTCTCCCATCCCCACTTCCCATGAGGGCTGTTGACAAAGGACAGATTCCTAAACCCTTCTGACGTGCATAAAATGAGCACTTCTGGACTGAGAAGGCTCATGAATTGCAATTGTTCTATCAGTTGTGTTGTTAATTTTTAATTCGAAATTGATAATAAGGTTTTTCAGGAAAAATATAAGTGTTTCATTCCAATTTTTAATGATAAGTAGTAGAAAAATTTGTTTCATGGCTGGACGTTTAATGCAGACCATCTATCTCCTTATCAACTCCAGGAGGTTCATTCGTGATAAATAAATAAAAGGAATTCAATTGAAATCACCATTGCCAGGGTTGATTCAGCTCTAGCCTCTACTCCTTTTTGCCTACCTCCCACCCCAGTCATTCTCTATTGCTGAATGTCTAGTGAGAAATTTATCTTATGTCTTTGTTCAATAGAGGCTGCATTGAAACGACACTTTAGTAATAGTATTAATATCAGCAGCTAATACTTATTAAAGGACTAAACATTCATTTGTCACTGTGTCAGAATTTATATCATATCATTTAATATTAATTTTACCCCTACAATGCACTATTGCTTTTTCCCATCTTACATGAGGACACTAAGGAATGTGCATCTAAAATTACAGAGTTACTGCACAGGAAAGCGTAGTATTTGAACACAGAGGTGTTCTTCATCACCATTCTGTCCTACTCCTTAGGTACTGCAATGTGGAAATAAAGAATAGTAGGAATCACCTGAGAGCACACAGGGAAAAAGGAAATAAATGAGATAAAGAAAAGTTAGATCAAAACAGCTTTCATTAGATTCATAGATACAGATTTTGTCCTCGACTGATAAACTAAGGCCCTAAAGAACAGTAGGCCTGAGTCATCTATGGACAATGCATCTTTAGATCTCATGTTCACACCTGTCCCAGTTTACTGTGGGATGAATTTTGCTGTGTGGAATTACGTGACATAGGCAAGATCATTGTGAAGAACTTGATAGTGACAAAGTTCATCAGTCTGAATTGAAAAGGCAAATTGAAAGGCCTGTGAAGGCCTAGACCTAGAACGCTGGGACAAGGAAAGCTTTAAATATCAAGGCACTGACGAAGAAACCAGGTAGAATAAGATTTCTGAGCTGAATGTCATGAATGAATGAATGAGTGAATGAATGAATGAATGAGTTCGAAGCAAAAGCAAAAGACTTAAACTTCCCTTCTGCTGAGATCCACAGAGACTGGCAGGAAGAGATGATGGGGAGGTCATTCAGAGGATCTGAGTAGGCTTCTTCGTAGGGTTTTCTTCAGTGAAATTTTCAGGTATTGAAACATAATGAAGATATAGAAAATAGTATGCAAAATATTAATGCTTGTCAAATTTCATGGTGAATATGTAAGTGTTCATTGTATCATGCCTTCAACTTGTCTGTATACTTGAAAATTTGCATGATAAAATTTGCAAAAGGAAAAATGTGTGTTAGAACCCTAGGAATCTCTGGTTCTCTTATGTAGAAAATATCACTGAAGATTTAAATCTGCAGCCAAGGAATGATATTTTTGATCTCTTGAAGGCAGAGAATCATCTATACTTGACATCTACTTTCAATAGCTGTGTCTGAAAATGAGGCCATTTCACCTTGGAGGATGTGTGGCTCAGTGGGTGGGACCCATGACACAGACAGCCAATCTAGGCCATAGCCCAGCTCTTCAGTTAAAACCTTGGAAACCTCCTTGTGAAATTGTCTTCCTGTAAGGGTATGCGGTGTCCATTGCTTCTGACTGCTGCGGGAGCTCTGAGTCTGGCCACGTTGAGATATTATGTTTGGATAGCAGGAGTTTTAAAGATAGTGCCCAGCTACTCAGCAAACTGGCACGAAGGTACACTGGCCTTGGGGAGTCCAGAAAATGGAGATTGAGTTTTAGAAATATGGAATGTATTTTAGACATTCTATACTAGGTTTTAATAGTCTTTGTTCTGATTAGATTTTTGTTTCCCCATCTCCAAAAACACCAGTGAGCAGCTTACTCTGTTATTCTATTGTTCTCCAGGTTGACAGTCATTTTAGAGGTGCTGGGAACAGAGTTCTAATACTGCGCAGAGAGATAAATGGACACAACTAGGCAATACATCAATTTTCTTAACAAAATATAATGATGACGGGATGGATTTTAGTTGGGACTTTTGTCACTGACTTCTAGTTGAACCTTGGGAATCCTCTCCAGGTTTTAATTTCTTCATATATAAAAGGGGATAAATTATATAGTACCAATTTTTTTTGCAGCCCAGTCATCCTCTGAATCGATGATCCATGAAGGTTAAATAATTGATAAGCTAACATCAGACTGGAAATTAAAATTATATATTTAGAATAGCACAGTATATGGTAGATCGAAAGTGTTCAGTGTTACTTACTGTTTAATAAATGAGTGCTGGAGATATTCAATCAATAAATAGAAGAATGGAACAGGGAAAGCTTTAAATATCAAGTCAGTAGATTTGATGATAGAATTTTATCCCAGTTATCTTTTCATGATTCTGTGAAGTAAGACTCTAGGTTTGTTGTCTAGCATGAGAAGAGTGGGAGTGAGCAAGAGAATTGAAGAGAATGCAAAAGGTCTAGGTCAGGCTTATCTGGAGGGGAAAGGGAGCTATAAAAAAAAAATATAAAGGATGTTCAAACAGTGTTGAGGGCACAGACTTACAGTGGAACCAGTTGTTATCAGCATTGCATTTGGCAGCGTGAGATCAAGAGCAAGGGAATTAGAAGCGTGGCTTGAAATTCAAGTGGCCAAGCAGCTTTAAAAGCTGCCCAGTAGCCCTAGCCCAGTGCCTCATTTGCAGCGTGCACTCAGTCATTTTCATTTAATGAAGCATAGTGTGGTTTCTCTTAAAACAAGCCTTTCCCTTTATTCGTATCATGTTGTACTACTCATCTGTTTTTTCAACTGATTTAAAGATCTACAGGATACAGAAATAATTTTTT